TTTGTCTGAAAACGAGACAGGCCATGCGCTAGATGTCACTATTACATGGTATGACCTTCTAACACCTATGTACATTTTTCCGATAGGTAATATTATAATGTGTCATGCACTGCACTTTAAACAAAGTTACATGTAAGGTGGAACTCTGGTGACAAAAGTGGGAACTTTTAAGTAATTTGATATTACTATAGGACTACATGTATATGTTTGGACATCTCAATATGACAACTTATCAGAGGTATTATTTTCAAAGAATTATTACAGAAACAATTCATTTATATTAATATATTGTCAACTTAACAGTCACTGCAATTAATATCTAATTACTAACTGATGTTTACAAATTTTTGCCACCATTATTATAAAGCTGAAATTTAAATTTTATCCTTTTTTTCCTTTGGCAGATTTTATTAGAGATATGCTTGATTACCAATATTTCAAAATCCGAAAATATGAATGGCTTCTGCTCAATATTTATTAGTAAATAAAAAGCCTAACCTCAGATTTGATGGCCCGTGTTTAAGATGAGAATGAAGCAATAAATTAAAATATTTTCAATTACAAAGAAATGTTTAGGGAGTCGAGTGTCTGACGTGATCAGTTGAAATGACTCACTGCAAGGTGGGTTTTTTTCGTACTGAAATATTTATGAAAACGTTCAAGTTTATCAGCAATTAAAAAAGTAAAGGTCCTTGTTTTATTCAAAATTGAAATACCTTGGCAAATTTCCAAATAGATAGTTATGTAAAAAAACAACATCTGTTTATTATTTAAAATTTCTGATAAAAAATACATGTATATTTTTACATAAAATGAGGAAGACACTTTTATAAATATGTATATTAAATTATCAAATAATTCATTTTGTATAATATATTAAGCTAAACAGTACAACAAGTTATTTTAAGCACTGTCACTTCCAGTCTGAAACTGAAGCCCATATGATCACGAATGACCTTAAAGTAACAAAACACTAAGAAAATATTTTTCGTCTTGGACCCAATATTTATAGTAGAAATTAGAATGTTATTGGTCGGGTAATCTGCCGACAGTTGGCCCTATGGTATTTAATCACCTAAACGTGTGTCACTCCGTAAATCGGAAAAGACTGCGTAAGGGTCACAAGATACAGTGTATTAAATTTACTATAAAGGATGAACATGTCTGATTAATATAAAGAATAATATTTCCTTTGAATACAATTTTTGATATGATTGACAATTTAAACCTGAGATATTTAAGAAATTGATAAAGATGTTAGCACAGTGAGTGGAGAAGACCCGACTTGGCTGTTATCAACATGGGAGTTGTTAATGCAGAGATTTGTCAGCTTCATTCAATATTTTGAACAAATTCTTATCACTTGAATTCTTCAGTTTTTGTTGATTTAATTTTGAGCAAAAAGCTGCAGTTTAAACAAAATGAAAACTAGACACAAATTAATTTTTATAAGTTATAAGATTGGTTTAGTAATAAATTGGTTTAGTATGGATTTTGAAATAATTCTTATTGATTGTGAAATTGTAAAAGCTGACAAATATTCATTTCCTGGGCATACCTATATACTTCTGTAGATTTATACTTACATATGTTTGTGTAGACTGTTTGTTCATGCTGTGTCATATCAAAAATTGAACTGGGGACAAGTTCAAAGCCATAATATAAATCGGATACAGCTAACTGATCTGTTAAGATTACCTCCCGTTTTTGAACAATTTTCGGCATGAAAAGTAAACTTCCATGAAATAATGTCAAATTTTCATGAAAGTTATAGCTTAAAACTATTTTTTAAACTCTCGAATGTTATTTGGAGATTTGCCAAATATCATTTTTCATAACTTTAAATGTTACAGAAACACACTGGCATTGGACGATGAAAAGGTTTTGAGATTTCCCCTATTGGATTACTTTGCTTCTGAACGGCAAATTTAAGCTTTTGTTATTTTTATGATAAAATAAGTAAACCTTCCGGAGAATATAGTCTCATATGTAATTGACAAAAGTAGTTGATCCTCGGTATGTTTCCCTGGAGTCTGTGCTTAGTGTGGCATATAGGTCTATCAGCATACTTGTTGTGATGATATAGTGGATGTTTATTTCATGTGGAAATATATTTTTCCTGTGAATGATGGCAAATATCTAAGGTAAATCAAACAGTTTATTCCGAACAATGTTAAAATGTTGTTATTGTGATGATAATTGATGTTTTGATTTTGTGTAGAAAGCTAAATTATCTGTGAACGAGGTGGTTAGTTGTACAAGATATTTGAAGAAACCTTGAAATATGCCATCATTTTGTTGGTAGTACCTGGTAGAATATTTATTTTTTCGGCCTGAAAGGGTCGAGCTTTCCTCCAGTGAATGATGATGAGTTGCATAGTCATATAGTTTATCTCAGGGTTTCTTAGAATTTATTCTAAGCTTAACAAAATACCAGTGTTGCGATGGTGGACAGAAAAATGCTTCTGTTTGGCAGTAGGTAACTCACTTATTTCCTGCATTTTTGAAATGTCAGATCATATGAGAAATCAAAAAGAAAGTTTTGAAAAGGGACTTTTCCAAAATTTGTTTTGGGTATAGCTTCACAATCATACCGGACGTTGTACTTCTGGAATATCATAAAATCTATTAAACTTCACATAAGTGTTCCTGTATAGGGTCATATATATAGCCCACTACCATTATCATATGTTCGTAAGTTTAATTAAGCAGGTCTCATGGATCTTATAAATAAAATTAGAATTTGAAAACTCTTATCATCAATAGATTTAAAACATACAATCTTGCAGTAACTAAAGGATCGGACTAGATTATAAAAAGGTCTAGGTCTATTGATCAACAGATCGAAATCAAAGTGTACTCGGAATAAACAGGCGGAGAGGTTTATGTGCATGAAGATTAGAGTGCACTTCAGTTTTCAGTTTATAGATAAATCAATAGAAAAATTATTATCTTGTCCAATTTTATAACTTTATTTTAAAACTAGAAAACAAAAAGTTCTATAATACAAAAGACATGTGTCGCTTTCATTTACAACAACAATAGTATTTTTATGAATGGCGTTATGATTTTTATGTTGATCAATGCTAAGACGAGCCATTCTAGTTAAGCTGGAACTTTCTACAGGCTCATGGACTAATAATGACCTAACAAGGCCAATGCGTAGATCTCTGCTAGTCGTCGGGAATATTTCACTATCCACTGTTCTAAACTTGGGTACATCGATGATTTCCAGGGTCAAAAGGTATGCTAGCAGACGGTCATTGATGTTTGATTGATGAAAACTCTTTGTGAAAAATGAGTACTTTGTGTACGACGTCATCAATACATGTTCTTATGTTATCGGTCCATCATTTGATAGACTGTAAACACAAAACCAATTAAACTAAACAAAAATAAAATTTATTATATGGGGATATACTGGAATCAGCATGTCTGTCTGTCCCTAGCAAAAGATTGTCCGGACCACTCCTTCTAAAGTTATGGATCAATTTCAACGAAAGATTTCTGGTATTGTGACTACCACCTGAAGTTGTGTTTAAAGGCCCTATTTTTTCATTTTGAGCCTTTCTTGCAAAATTATGACCCTTTGTTGAAATCCTTTTCCAGACTCCTTCTCCAATACTACGGGGCTAATTTCAATGATAGTTTTCCGATATGATAATTTAACTACCACCTGATATTGTGCATCCAGGTAATATTTTTTATTCTCACCCTTTTTTTACGGAGTGATTGCCCTTTGTTGAAAAACACTTGCCCAGACAAATTCTCCAAAACTACTTGGCCAATCAATGAAAGTTTTCAGATATGATAACGTAACCACCTAATGTTGTGCATCCAGGTATTATTTATTCAAACTGACCCTTTTTATACGGAGTAATGGCCCTTTGTTAAAAAATATTTGTCAAGACAACTCCTCGAAAACTATGGGGCCAATTTCAACTGAAGTTTACAGATATAATAACTACCCCCTGTTATTGTGCATCCAGGTATTTTTTCCAACTCTTTTTTATGGAGTTTTGGCCCTTTCTTGGAAAGTCCTTGTCCTGACAACTTCTGCTAATCTACTCGGCCAATTTCAAAGTTTACTGATATGCATGGTAACTGCCCCCTGACGTTATGCATACAAGTAGTACTTTTTCATTCCGACCCATTTAAAAGGAGTTATGGCCCTTTGTTGAAAAAAAAACCTTTGTCTGTCTCCTTAACTACTGGTACGATTTCAATGAAAGTTTACAGATATGGTAACTACCCCCTGATGTCATGCATCATAGTATTTTTTCTTTTTGACCCTTTTTAAGGAGTTATGGCCTTTTGTTAAAAACCTTTGCCTTAACTACTAGGACGATTTCAGCAAAACTGGTTCATCTTGGCAAACAAGATTTGATTTGCAAGTATGTTTTGCCATTGGGCGGGAGTACAGAAAGTATGTCATTTACCTATATACTTAAATAAGTGTACAGCTCAGTGAATAAAGAAATCATTACTGGCGAAAGACTATGAATTGCTTTGCAATGCTTTACCTTACTTAGCCTTTAGCTTACAGTTCTGGTTTATATGGGAGCGGGGGG